TTTAAGTCTGCCTCAACCTCCCAAACTCTGGGGATTATAAGCATGGGCCACTGAATCTTGTTGAGACCACTTCTCACAACCATCAGTGAAATGCCACAGGACCCCAGAAAAGTCTACTGGGGTCATGATGTCATGGGGACATCAAAAGAACCTTGTCAACATTCAGACTTCATACTTATTGAGATCAATGCCTCCGTTTTTAAAATCCATTTGATTCCTATGTTCTACTCATCAACTTCTCTGCTCAAACAATATGCAATGCCTCTAGTGCAGGAACTGAGACTGCGATTCCTCCTATGGTGAGATTGTTGCTGTCTTTCCATATCCTGAGGTCTTATCCAGAGGAGCCACCTGCGTCTGAGCACCAAATCAGGATGCTCTCATGCCTACCTGCTGTCTAGCCTCCTCCTGAGACCCTTCTCCCTTCTCTCCACAGGGACTTTAAAAAGAGTGGCTGCAGGGAGGCAGGGGCAGGAATCATGTAATTAGGACTGCCACCTGCTTCTCTGCAGCCTGCTGATGTCACACTGCCTCTCTTCATTAGTAGAGGCTGTGGCTCTACTGGCCTTGGGCTATGGTCTATGCCCTCCCTGATGGACAAGGTCATGTCCAGATTCCTGCCTCTGTGGCCTTCCAATGCCCAGTCACCAGCTCTGTTAGAGGAATTCCTCCGTGAAGCCCCAAGGTGCCCAGTGACCCAGCTCAGAGGCAGTGTGCCGCAGGACTGTCAGTGGCACGGAGTCTGCGCCCACTGTGCCGCTCAGGCTCCTCCTGGCTGGCTCAGCAGGCAGTGCAGCCAGACCCCTCCTGTGGAGATGCCCTCCCATGGACCTGTTCTGCCCTGCTCCACCATGGCTGCCTACTGACAAAGTGGACACAATGAAGTCATTTACCTGGAAGGGTTATCACAAATATGAAATGAGGTGACATGAAAAATTCTCAGGAAAGTACCAGCCCACAGGAAGAACACAGCAACTGTTAGTCTTACTATTGTCACATGTCCCCATCATCCTCATTGTTGTCATCATTGACATCACCATCGTCTATCCTCATCAGTCTTCAAATAATGAAGCGTAGCTGAGAAGCAGTCCATAAGGTGGGTCCAACAGTAATTAGAATTCAACATTTCTCCACTATGTTCCTGCTCTCCCAGAGAGTCAAGGAGAGTGGGCATCTATTGAGATGCCCTTAATTTTTCAGTAGCACTTGAGCAAATCCCCACTTATCCTTTCAATGAAGGATAAAACATTTTGCAACAGGGTGCTTCTAGAATTATCCATAAAGAGTTCGTCACAACCTATCCAATGCTTTATTGAGCTATGATGACTCCCCAAAAAAGGGAATGGTCCAGTTTGGACTAATCAAGAACACATTCAAAGGATAAGAGCCCCTTAGATTAGTGATTGGAGTAATAGAAGGAGGTAACCAGGCTAAAGAGACAGGATGTTCTAGGAACTAGGCACTACATGGTCGTAGGAACTGAGACAGGAAAGCATGGTAGAGGTTGCAGAAGTTGAGAGTGTCCTCGGTAGATTTGCGTATTCTGCAAACTAATCTCATGCCATGTGGAGACGGGATTTGGGATGAATGTAGACATAGGATGATATGGGAGGCTGCTACAAGGTCTTGGAGAGTATTCCAGGGGCACAGACTCAGGCAGGTCTCTAGACCAAAAGGCTCAGCAGGCTGCCAGTCCAAGACCCAGTTGACAGGCTTGGTGAAGCTACTACCAACAGGGGCTTGTTTAGTCCCTAAATAACAGGGGACTAGACCAGGACATCAAACAGAGAGCATCTGCATAATGTGCCTGCCTCAGGTCTGGATGATTTTGGGGAATCTATGAGAAATTATGGAACCAGATTATAATTATAGTAATGGAAAGAGGACCCAGGCGACTGGAAAGGTTTAATCTAAAAAATAGGTTCTGGGTGCAGAAAGCCAGTGCAGGAAGGAGACAAGCCACACAGCAGAAGTGTACCTCTAGTAACAAGCACCTGTAGTTCCTTTTGGATGGCTGAGAAGACTTGCACGACTATGAATCAGTCTGAGTATGGAAACTATGGTCTGCCTTGAATGTCAAGAAAAGTCTGTGAAGAGTTTAAGAGGCCACAACGCTCCTGTTTGCAGCTATACTTAAGCTAGACAGCGAGATGCAGAAGCCGATCTGCAACAGCAAACATCTCCAGATCCTTCCCTCCCATGCCCAGCATTCTCATTTACTCTTTGATGCTCTGCTGTAAAATTGACTGCTATAAATACATACTATAACATTTTTTTGCTAAGTTCAAATATTGCTGTGACTACCAGTCTTAGGAATCAGAGGGAACAATTTCCTATCACTAGTAAAGGCAGAAGAAAAAACAAGTTATATTTATAAGTGAATTCTACTTGTTACATAAAAATAAGTCAGGAAAATATGACTTGATTTTGTTTCAGTTCCTCCAAGAAATTCTCCCACCCACCCTCTAGCATCACTAGGAGGAATGAGTCAACATCTAAATTATCACAGACTTCTTTAACTGTCCTCCTTTTGGAGAAATTGTTGATATTCTATTTTTGTTTAAATATCCCTTTTGATRTGATAACTAGGTTAGTCTCTCACCCTTAATGAAGGCATGAATTTCCAAAGATGCTTTTCTGAAGCCATGCAAACAAGTAGGTTATGATTAAAAAAAAATCCAACAATAGTAGAAGGTATGTAGGGGTTGTTCTCTACAGATATATCAATAAAATGCTTATATTATATAAATGTGAATTCATACACTAGAAATTTATAAAAATACAAAATATTCAAGTTAGAGAAGACTAATATTAATTATGGTAAGGGGAAATAATTGGACAGTGTCTTTTTCACTTAACACTCTTATTTAATACATATTTAACATGGATTTGTAGATGAGGCGCCCTGGGCTATAAGCCAGGAAGTGAGGAACCAAAATTATCAAGAGATCCGTTTTCCATCTAAATTGGTCATTCAGTGCTGTGTTTGTTCAGTATACTTTGGATCCAAGAAAAGAAATCAACTCAAGAAAAATCAAATGAACAAAGAGGAAAGATTTAAAAAGTTAACAGGTAATCTTATGCATGCAGCCCATCCTAAAATAAAATAAAATGAAACAAACTAATTAAACTAGAGTCTCCCTAATTTTCAGGGCCCATTCAGGTTTCTCTGTCGGGGTGCTCTCTGTTACTACAGAGCCCTACAGGAACACACAAGCTACCATGGTTTCTGTGCCCTGCATGTCACAGATTTTAAGTCCCTCACTCCAATTTTACAGACTCGTCATCGGCTGAATTCCCCTTGGGTCAGATGTCCGCTCTAGTTCAGTCAGAAACCAGCTCCTACATGGTTCCCTAGACCTGCTCCTGGCAGGGGGTGGGGGAGTGAAAAGGAGTGGAAGACACACAGTMCGTGACACCGTCACATAGAGAGCTTAGGACATAAATCAAAAGGTAAACAGGCTTCAGGGAAAATAGAGGTCAGTCCAGTGGAGCCTGGGGAGCAATAAAGCCTGACCCTCTGTGCCTCTCAAGACGTAGGGTCCTGCCCAGCGCTCTTCAGCTACGCACAGCCACATGCAGAGAAGCCAAGGCAGGCTCACCTCTGCCCCACAGTCACCCACCTGCAAACAGTCAACCGACTTAAAGGGAAGAATTCCCTTCCCTTTTCCTTATGCATCCTGTGTTGGCAACTGTGGATGCTTAGACAAGTCTGTGGTGAGTTTGAGAGACCACACTGAACCTCCCACCTGCTACTATGCACCAAGTATTTGGAGGGATAACAGATACTTCTCTATGTCCTATATAAGACTTATAATGAAAATGATATCCCAGCCATCTATCCCCACAGGGCACAAAGATTTCCATGTAAAGGTTTTCCATATTCAACCAATGAGAGAACAATGGGATAAGATGCGTGGCGTATGCACTTTGAGTATTTTATGGTAGCAGAACCGACGAGTCCACCCAGCTCATGTTTTGGCTTCCAGAGTAAACTGGCGGCAGAGCCCAGGACCAAGAATCACTGYCCCATTTCCGTCTATGACAGGCCATGGGACTGACTATCAACAGGGGACTGTGAATGCAGTGACAAAATTGAAAATGCTAATGAGGATGAGGCCGCAGAGATGGCAGGCCCTTCAGAGAGCAGGGAGCTGGTCCCCACTCGCAGTACAGGGACAAGCAACCCTTCCCAGCCTGCATGCCCATGCCGTTTCAGATGGGGCAGGAAATGCTAGCGTTTATGTGATACTGTTCCCTAATTACGATGCCACTCTAAAAATGCAGAGTGCCCAAACCAYATCACCAAACAAGATAGGGAAGGACAATGTGCTTCTAAGCAATGGAAGTTCCATTCATCCACATGTATCCACACACACACTCACAATCCTTACATGCTTCAATAAGAAGACAAGGCCCTAAGGAGGGTGATTCTTCTGGTCATGTGACTAAAGKGTGGGGTTTTAAGACWGCCCTGRTTCAACTGTCACTTCCACCCATGGTTGGGTATATATTTTTACACATGGGGAATTGCACGTGTGGCTGACACTTGGGAGGCAATTTTATAATTTACCATTATATATTAGCAAACAATATAGGATACATCAGAATTTTCTCTCTTTMACTTTAGGAGCCTGCGTCTCTGGATCATTTAGGGAACAACAATAAGAAGAAGCCACATCAGCTGCAGTCTGGGAGCTCACGATTTGGCATCACTGATTTCCAACAACTTGACTGAAGGCAACGCCTCCCTTTGTGTAAAATCATGCATAATTTGCATCCAGGGCAGACATTCATCTGGTTAAAAGAGTTCTGAGTACAAATCAGGCCACACTAGGCATCTTTTGAACATCTTAAATCAGGTCAGTTGCCATTTCTTTCCAACGTCTGACTGAACATCCCAATTCCCCATCCAGGTTGGAAAGGAGAATCTAAACACCACAATTCACTTTCAAAGACCACTGGAAGCCCAGAAAACGGGGAGAGCAGGGTGCCAGTACCTGATGCTGCTCATGCTGCCTGTCTCGGACCCAAGCTTGCATCGCTCTAGCTGGCTGGCTACGATCTGCCGTTCAGCCTCCAGCTCCCGGGTCAGCCTTTCAAACTGCAGTTCCTGAAAGAAACCAAGCAACAAGGTGAATGGTGTCATCTCTGTGAASTGGGAGGTCCCGGCTGAAGCGACAGAATGGCAGAGGGGAAAGCCCCGTTTTCAAAGGGGTCACATTAGAGAAACAGGATGTAACCCCGAGGGATATGACGAGGATTGGAAGTTCAGACAGACTGCTGTCCACTCGCTTAAAAGGAGCTACTTGAGATCTGCTCCATCACCTGTAAAATGGGTTTAGCGTACTCATTCTGTAAGGTGGGCTGAGGACTAAATGACATATGGCCTAGGAAAYAGTGGCCTTGCTATTTCTGGCAGTTGGTCAGCTTCCAAGTGACAGTAACATTCCTGACATTAAAACTGTAGCATTCAGTAAACAATTCCTTTGTTACCATGACTTAAAGACTGTGTTTACCCGCACTGGGCTTCTATCTGCTTCAGCATGCTAATCTGGTCTCCATATTACTTACGTACTATARATTGAAGAAGATAATGCTTTAAWACCTGGCTTTTTCATGCTTCAAATTCCAGCAGAATCACAGTATTACACATTCTATACAGTCTAATTGCTAAAAGCACAATCTTTGAGACACGTGATACMTCACCTTTAAAAATGATCATGTGACTCAATGAAAACGGCTTCTGCAAAGCTGACTAAAGCTTAGGATTAACTTTAATGAAAAATGATTCAGACAGAACTTTAAGGATCTCAGCTATTCCAACGACAGCTCTTTGGTGTCATATTCTAGTCATTTTGTTTTTCCATACAGTTAAATTATTTAACAAACAATTACAACAAATCATGTGTTTTAACCAAAAATTTCAGGAACATATTTATGATTTCACATTTAACTTTATTGAAAAGATAAATTATCTGCACAGTTACATTTTGGAAATGAGAAAACAAGAATGCTATCTCATACTGAAGCATCGGGTAGGGTCCGTTTTGGAGAATTTAAACTTCCAAAATTGTATAGATCTTTCTTTCCAAAAAGAAGATTTTATTGTATTCACTACCCTGGGATGGTCTCAGGTGAGATCTTTGAAATGTAAAACGTGGTGTGTCCCATACATATATTAAAACTACCCAGGCTCTTTTCCATGGGAGCAGATTTTAAAAAAAAATTGACATTATTTGGGAGATTAAAGTAAAAGACACTTTGCAGATGAGAATTCAACCTTTTGCTTGAGGGAGCTAAGACTGAGGGGTAAGCCTTGGGTTAAGTCCCAACTTTTCTTCTTGCATATTCTGAAGGGCACCAAGTATTATTGGCAAGAAATAAATAACAAGACCTCTTCCAGATGCACTTTCTATATCTCACCTTCCTTCCTTCCCTCACAAAGTCTCTTGCTTTGATAGTTCCCTCCCACAAAAATATCCAAGCTCTGGATTTTTTTTCCAGACTTTAAAACATACTGTGTGTTAAATCTATCTGTGTAAGAGGAAGCCAACCTGTCCCTGTGCACTGACACCATCCTGAAACATAGCACAGRGCTCCTTACCACTACATGGATAGTAATGGTTCCTGTTATCTAAGGAGAAGTCTCAATTCAGTGCATTTCCCTGGGACAGAGGGGAGACCATCAAGGTGACTTTACAGAGCTAGGGACTTCCAAGAAACCAAGGCAACCCAAAGACCCACCCTTCCAACCCTGATTCTTGTGACTAAGTCAGAAAGATTTYGGACAYGTCACTCAGCAACAGGAATGAATTTGTTGAATGAATAGGGAAAGGGAAAGAGGTCACTCTAGGGGAGGAAGTGGATCCCATCAGAGAGGAGAAGGACAAGGTGCCCCTCCTGTGCTCCAGTCTTTGTTGTTGTCATGTTCTCTCTAGATACACRTGGCAGTAGAATGTATTTTGATGCATTAAATGTATGGAGTATGACTTATTTTAATTAGGATCCCATTTTGTGGTTGCACATGATGTGGATTTCACTGATTGTGTATATATATATGTGTACACAGGAAAGTTATGTCCAGTTCATTCTACTGTCTCACCTTTTCCCATCTCCCATCCCTTCTCTTATTCCCCTTTGTCTAATCCAATGAACTTCTATTCTCTCTACCCCTCCCCCGGTATTATCTGTCAGCATCCATATATCAGAGAGAACATTCAGCCTTTGTTTTTTTTAGGGGGGTTGGCTTATTTCACATGACATGATAGTCTCCAGTTCCATCCATTTAATTTATTCTATTAAGGATAATTCTATTCTTCTTTATGGCTGAGTAATATTCCATTGTGTATATATACCACATTTTCTTTATCCATTTATCTGTTGAAGGGCACTTTGGTTGTTTCCATAGCTTAGCTATCGTTAATTGAGCTGCTATTAACATTGATGTGGTCACATCACAGTACTATGCTGATTTTAAGTCCTTTGCATATATGCCAAAGAGTGAAATAACTAGATCAATTGGTGGTTCCATTCCTAGTTTTCTGAGGAATCTCCATACTGCTTATTAGAGTGGTTGCACCAATTTGCATTCCCACCAGCAATGTATGGCTAAACCTTTTCCCCACATCCTCACCAACATTTATTGTTACTTGTATTCTTGAATACTGCCATCCTGACTGGAGTTGAGATGGAGTCTCAGTGTAGTTCTAATTGGCATTTCTTCCAATTGCTGAAGATGTTTAACATATTTTGATATATTTTTGACCATTCATATTTCTTCTGTAAAATGCTAGTTCAGTTACTTTGCTCATTTATTAATTGGGTTATTTGTTTTTGTGGTATAAGTTTTTTTTTGAATTCTTAATTAAGCTCTATCTGAGGTATTTGTGGAAAAGATTTTCTCCTATTCTGTGGGCTCTCTCCCCATGTTCTTCATGGTTTCCTTTGCTGTGAATAAACTTTTTAGTTTGATAACATACCATTTATTGATTTTACTTCTTGTGGTTTAGGAGTCTTGTTAAGGAATTTGGTTCCTAAGCTGACATGATGGAGAGTTGGGCCTACATTTTCTTCTAGTCGGCACAGGATCTCTGGTCTAATGACTCGGTTCTTGAGTCAGTTTGAGTTGATTTGTGCAGGGTGAGAGAAAGGGGTTAAATTTCATTCTACTACTACATATGGATTTTCAGTTTACCCTGCACTGTTTGTTGAAGAGGCTCTCTTTTCTTTAATGTATGTTTATGGTGCCTTTGTCTAGTATGAAGTAACTGTATTTATGTGGGTTTGTCTCTGTGTTTTCTACTTTGTTCCACTGGTCTTCATGTCTATTTTTGTACCATTACCATGATGTTTTGATTACAACAGCCCCATAGTATAATTTAACATCTGGTCTCATGATGTTTCCTGCTTTACTTTCCTCATTAAGGATTGCTTTGGCTATTCAGGACATACAAAAACATATTAAAGATGGTGCACCATGATCAGTGCAGTTCATCCCAGGGATGCAAGGTTGGTTCAACATAGGAAATCAATATATGTAATTCATCACATCAATAGGATTAAAGACAAGAATCACATGAATATCTCACTAGGGGCAGAAGAAGCATTTGACAAAGTTCAGCATCCATTTATGCTCAAAGAACTAGAAAAACTAGGGATAGAAACATACCTCAACATTGTAAAGGTATAAATGCTAAATCCAAGGCCATCATCATTCTAAATGGAGAAAAATTGAAAGAGTTTGTTCTAAAACTTGCATTAAGACAGGGATGTGTTGAGAGCCACAGCCGAAGGGGCCCCAGCAAACTTCCAGCTGCCAGCAAACTTCCAGCTGCCRGCTGATGATTGGCTCACAGCGGCCCCAGCAACATCTAGCTGATTGGCTCCTCTGCGGTGATGCTCATTGGGCTGTTTCCCTGCCCTTTCAGACCACGGAGCTGCTCATTGGGGGAATTTTTTGGCTCCGCCCACGTGACCCAGCCAATCCTCCTCAAGAGCAGGAGGATTGTGGGAGGTGGAGAGGCTGGGGGTTGTGTGAGAGGCTTGTGGGAAGCCAGTGGTGGCAGTTGGGCTCTGAGGGTTTTTCCTGAGGAGCTGTTTTGTTTGGTGTGTGTGGTTCTAAAAATAAAGTTAGTTTCTTTTGACAAGTGGCTCCTGATTGTGCCCAGCCAGACTGTGGCAGGGATGCCCTCTTTCACCACTTCTATTCAGCATAGTCCTTAAAACCCTAGCCAGAGCAATTAGAAGAAAAAAAAAACAATGGGAAACAAATAGAAAAAGAAGAACTCAAAGTATCCCTATTTGCCAACAACATGATTCTAAATATAGAAGTCCCCCAAATCTCCACCAGAGTGTTTCTAGAACTCATAAATGAACTCATCAAAGTAGCAGGGTACAAAACTAACAACCATAAATCAATTGCATTCCTATACACTAAGGGTGAATGGGCTGAAAGAGAAATTAGGAAGACTATCCCATTCACAATAGCCTAAAAAAAAGAAAAAAAGAGAGAAAGAAAGAAGGAAGGAAGGAAGGAAGGAAGGAAGGAAGGAAGGAAGGAAGGAAGGAAAGAAAGAAAAAGAAAAAACTTGGAAAGCAATCTAACAAAATTGGTGAAAGACCTCTATAATGAAAACTACAGAACACTAAAGGGAGAAATCGAAAACCTTACAAAATGGAAAAACCTCCCATGTTCTTGGATTAATATGGTCAAAATGGCATGATACCAAAAGCACAATACAGATTCAACACAATTTCTATTAACATTCCAATGATGTTCTTCACAGAAATAGAAAAAGCAGTCATGAAATTCATTTGGAAATATGAGAATCCAAGAACAGCCAGTGCACTCCAGCTTTACTTGGGGATCCCAGAGAAGATCCCGAGAGTCCTGCCAGGTGCACTTCTTGACTTTCGACTGTCGGCAGTGTGACATCAGACTTTTAAGTTCCCCTGCCATGGCGACTCCAGGTCACCTTGGGCCATGCTAACAGGTTCTAACTGGATTCTTCACCATACATTCTTACAGGTATGGTTTGGAGAAACCATCTTTATCTTCCAGAATCTGGTCGGTGAAAAGGGTCACAAAAGTCTCTTCCTTCAAAGTAACTT